CTGTGTTTGTCATCTGTCACAAACCAGTGGAGCATGCTTATAGACAGAAGTCAGAAAGTTTCAGCAGTGACTATGAAGTCACTTGGTTCATTGTTATCCAGAAAGGACTATGAAGTTCCAAGCCCAGAGATATTTAGTATTTGGACAAGAAATATCCATATTGAAACTGGGTTTGGACCTAAAAATTCAAAGTTGATTCCTTCTAGTAGGTCACTTGATTGATAAGTGAAACAGAGCTATTCAGAAATTCATTATATGGAAGTTGGAAAATGGGCAGTGAAGGGAAAAAAAAAAAAACAGAACAGCAGAGATCCAAGTGATGAGGTAGGTTTCGGGGACTGGGGAGAAAATGTTGATGCTGGAGCCAGAAGGGAAATTTCTGAATGTTTTGATTTTCTGAAATGTCAGAACCAAGCAATAAAGAAAAATAAATTCAGAAGTATAAACGACGCAGAAGTTAATTTCAGCAGGGCTGGTAATAGAAATGTTTCAAAGCCATAGAAGTAAAAGTGGGGTCATTTTACTCTGATGCCTGTTTCTGAGGTTTGATCTTTCATTTGCCAGAAAATGCTATGACGTTTTAAAATGGAGCTTTTGCTAAAAAGATGTAGAAGTGTCACTTTTATTTGAATCCCAACTGAAAAGTAGAGGCAGCAAATGACCTCACACCATGGGCGTCCCTCTGAGAGGGGAAACTGAAATGACCAGGCTCCTGTTTTGGCAGATACACAGCCCCATTGGTACGCATTACCTGCTCTGACCCAGGAGAGGACTGTAGAATAACACTTGTCCTTGAATTATCTCCCAGGCTCAGGAAAAAGTTGTAAGTTACTAGTGGATGTTGCAGGCACCATAAACCAGCTGCAATTCCGGATAAGAAAGTACAGGCATCAGCAGCACTTACTCAAACTCAGACTTATACTGGCCTTCCCTCACTGACCAGGGGCTCCTTCCCCAATCAGAGGATCCTCTCTCCCAGCTCCTCTGGGTGTCAGTTTCCCCTCCTCGGGTCAGGGCCTGATCACTGTTCCCTCTTGTGTCTCATTTTCCAACCCTTCAGCGAAGACTTCTTTGATGATGGCAAGTTCCAGGCCAGAACGTGTGCTGGCCTTTTGTCTGTGCACAGACCCTGGACACTGTGACTTGAATAAGACCTGGAAAATGGTCAGGCCTATCTTTAATCATCAAGTTTTTGTCAACTTGCCACAAACCTAGCCATTCCTGGGAAGAGGGAACCTCAGTTAAGGAACTGTCTCCATCAGATTGGCCCATGGGCATGTCTATGGGGGCATTTTATTAATTGCTAATTGATGTAGGAGGACCCAGTCCACTGTGGGTGGTGCCATCCCTGGGCAGGTGGGCCTAGGGTATAGAAAGGTAACTGGGCAACCCAGGGGAAGCAAGCCAGTAAGCAGCATTCCTCCATGATTTCTGCCTCAATTTCTGCCTCCAGGTTCCACCTTTCCCTGCCCTGGCTTCCCTCATGATACCTTTAACTTGTAAGATGAAATAAGCCCTTTCCCCTACAAGTTGCTGTGGCCATGGTATTTCATCACAGCAACAAAAAAACAACTGAAATACCATCCAAAACCGTAAGACCCTTGACTTGATCACGTGTTTTGAGCTGATCTGATTTCCAGGTTATCCTTTGGGGGACTACTTGCCACTGTGGTAAGACTTTCCTCTCTGATCCAAAATGATCCCTGGTGCTCTGGTCAGTTTGTGTTAGAGCAGGTTAGCTGCATCTATCCTATGTTTTATTAGAGCAGAGTCTAAACACACCATCTTCCCATCTGTCACGTGGATTAGGGTCCTAAATTGCCAATCATTCTTAGGTAGAATACATGCTGGCACACCATGGGTTGGCTGAAGACACAGCTGTATGGATGAGGCTCATCTGCTTGGCTTCTGTGCCCTTTAACCACTAATACTCTATCATCTTACTAAGACTCCACCAGTCAAAAGGAGCCAGATGCTTACCATTTATCAGGAGGGAACAGGTAATTTACTTCAAGGTCTTACAAAGCACCACAGAAAAGGTCTAAGTACATGAAAGTACTTTGGACTTCTCTCTTCTCCACATGATCTCAAAGCTCACTCTGAACTCTAAAATTGGATGACTTTGAGGGTTCCAGATGCAAAGAAAAGGGCAGAAAGAGGTTGCAGAAATGAATTGGCATCTGATAATAACTACACAAGACTGAGGAGAGACAGCTCACTCAATGGGTATTAGCACCTACTAAAGCTGTCTCCGGCCATGGTCCTGGAGGTGCAGGAACAAGTGTCTGTCCTTACAGAGCCTTCCTTCTCTTAGGCTGATCTGGGGAAACAGAGCCACCAGGACCTTTGTGATCGTCGCAGACCTCACTGCTGCTGCTTGGACCCTTGGTGTCCTCCCCTCACTGTAAATTCAGGAGGGACACTGCCTGAGAAGGGTATTGGTCAGATCAGTTGCTCTTGTAAATAAATTAAAGATGCCTCCAGTTTTCTGGTCCCCGCTCCTGTTGTCTTTTCTTCCAGTACTGGGGGTTGGATCCAGGACCACACCTCTGCTTAGACCGTGATGTCTGCCTTCTAAGCCATTTCATTCTCCTATCCATTCTTTATTCCAGAAGTGTTTTCCTTCCTAGCCAGACTAGATCAAGTATGCTTTGGGGACTGTCTGTAACTGTTGCCTAATTATTTATCAGGTCGTCTTGCCTTGGTTTTCTACCGAGCTTGTGAGACTGTGTATCAATTTCTAATGTGTTTGGTATCTATGCTCATTTAACTCTGTTTACAGAAACTTTAGGAATAAAAGTCCATATTCCTCCCCCCTTCAACTTCTCAGCTTAGTTTGAGTAGCACGGAAGCGACACAGATGACAGTCAAAACATACTTATGAAGCCTTACTGTACACCAAGCATGGGATAAACCATTTGGCCACGCAGTTTGTCAGACCTCAGGGAACCTTTGGAAGCATGTGCAATTAACACCTTTTGAAGCTTGAGAAATTAGTGAAGAGACCCCAGATTATATGATTAGTACACTCTTTTAAATCAAATTATACCTAGTAAGTCAACTCTGGTAGATGGCTTATTCTATCACAGTAGCAAAACTTGATTTCCTTAGTATGGCTTTTGGATAGTTTGAATTACAGTGAGAAGTGGCCCACTGGGTCAGAAGCATTCTGATCTGGCTGCTGTCTTCCCTCTGGTCACTGCTAGGGTTTCATAGACTAAAGGGGTCTCTTTTTACTGTCACCTAAAAGGTAGGAAGATGGTGCCTCTGCCAAGGAAGTCAGGTGCTTCTTTCTCTGTGGTCTCTGTGGTCTTTATTTTTATAGGACAGCTCTCGTTGTGTACATTCTTGTCAACCATCCTGCTAAGGGCTAAGCTCCCTGTAGCCTTGGCCAACTCTTTGTCCTTCTCTGAAGTCCTGGGACTAGGTAAACATGGGACAGACAGCAGATGCTCACTGAATACGTTTATCTTAAGATTGCCCTATCCCATGTTGTGCAATGCCCATGGAGGTCAGAAGAGGGTGTCAGATCTTCTCAAACTGGAGTCACATAGATGACTGTTATCCATTACATGGTGCTGGGGACTGAACCCAGATCCTCTATAAGAGCAGCCAGTGCTTTTAACCACTGAGCCATTTCTCCAGCCCCATACATGCAGGCAAAACACTCATACACATAAAAATAAAAATAATCAATAAAGATGCCCTATCCCACTGATCATGGTGGCATATACTTGTAATCCCAGCACTGGGGGGATGGAGATATGAATATTGTAGTTTGAGGTCAACCTGAAGTATATGGCATGACTGTTTCCAGAGGAGGGGGAGACAGGGGAGGAGGAGGGTGAGAGAGGGAGGAGGAAAGAGGAGAGGAAGAGGAATAACCCTATCTACCCCAGTTTCCTCAATAACCCATTATATATTCAGAATCTCACTGAAGTTGTATTTTAAGTTAACAAGCAGCGTAAGTCTATCTGCTTAGTAAAATAATCTTTCTTAGATTTGTTATTTAAAAATGTTTCCTTCAGATTTCCAGGATTTCAACCTTTGTATGCTATTAGTAAGAATGTAAATTGGTATCATCATTAGAGAAAACAGTATAAAGATTCCTCAAGAAATTAAAGATAGAACTTCTGTGTGACTCAGAATCCTTCTTCTGGGTAGGTACCCAAAGGAAATGAAATTAGTTGTGAACATGTTCACATCCATGTTCTCTGCAGCATGACTCAAGTAGCCAAGCTCTGGAATTAAGTATCCATGGGCAGATGAATGGAGAAATGTAACCTATACATATAATGGAATATTATTCAGTCATAAAAGGAGCTCTCATTTTACCAGCAAGATGGATAAAGGCACTTGGTGCTAAGCCTGATGATCTGAGTTTGATCCCTGGAACCCACGTGGTAGAAGGAGAGAACCACCTCCCACAGGTTGTCGTCTGACCTTCATATGCACACACATACATACACACACACACACACACACACACACACACGAAATGCAAAAACGATTTTTTCCAAAAAGGAGTCCCTGACATTTGCAATAATGTGGATGGACCTAGAAGCCGTTAAGTGAATTAAGCCAGACCCAGAGAGACAAATAACCATGCACATGTTCCCACTGATATGTGAGCTATGGAAAAACAGAAGTCATGGGATCAGAGAGTAGGAATGATGGGAACCAGGGACAAGAAAGTGGGGCAGATGCAGAGCTGTTGGTCAGAGTATGAATTTGCAGTTATGAGTAAGTCCTGGAGGCCAATTGTACACCATGGTTAATAATGAACCATATATTGAAAATAATGGTGAGTAGATCTGGAGGACTCTCCTTGCACACAAAGGAAACGAACATGATGACTTGCTTGATTGTGGTGACATTTCACTATCCATATGTGAAATGGACAGACACAAATCCATATCCAGATGTCACGTATTTCTTAAATATATGAAAAATTCATGGAATTAAAAGCAATACCTTCTTTCTTGTGTCATGTTTTTCAGGAAGGTGATGTCTGGCCCAACTCATCAATTGAAATCACTGTGTACTTTAACCCTCTAGAAGCCAAGCTCTACCAGCAGACTGTTTACTGTGATGTTTCAGGTACAGACTTGCTCTATGTAGCAACCAGGTTACCAGGTTATCGGGTGCCCAGAATATGTGTGAATATGTGTGTGTGTGTGTGTGTATGTGTGTGTGTGTGTGTGTGTACATACATATATGTGTATGCAGGGATGTATATATGTTTATGTATACATGTGTGTGCAGGGATGTTTTGAGGTGTATACTCAGGCCTTTGGCCCAGAATGATATCAATAGATGGATGCTCGAGTCAAATGATGAACTTCTCACCTCTTTCTAGGACAGATTAATTTTTTGGTTTTGCTTTGATTTTTGAGACAGGCTTTCACTCTATAGCTCAGGCTGGCCTAGAACACATTATGTAGTTTAGATTGGCCTCTAACTCAAGGTGATCTGTCAGCACACAGGATCACAGGGGTGAGCCACTATGCCTGACTGGAGCAGTATTTTACAATTGGAGTGATGGCAGAGGGACATAGAAACCTGTGACTCTGTGTCTCCTTGATGCTTAGAGAACTGATTCTTTTCCTAAAATATAAATTACAAAAATTTTCCCAATGGAGAAAGTATTCTGAGACTTCAAACTGTTTTCTCATTATCATTAATTCTTGTAGCAATGTTTGTTTCTGATGATGTACTACATTTAATTGGTCCAATTTAACGACAGGCTTTTGACTAAGGGTAGCTCTAATATCAAATGTCTTCTGATAAACAAAGTTTGCCATAAAGGAACAGCATTGATGACTTTAAAATTGTCTTATATAGTTGCCAAATTTCCATGGTACAGAAGTCAAAACATCTATTTTAAGAATTAGTATTTGGAGCAGCCCGCGGTTGCCCGACAGGCACAAGGCAGGAGGCTTCGTTTCCGGCTTAGGATCAGGGTTTGGGGAAGGGGCCGCAGGCGCCGTGTCGGACCACGAAGGTGGCAAGAAGAAGCCCCTGAAACAGCCCAAGAAGCAGGCCAAGGAGGTGGAGGAGGAGGAGGACAAGGAGGTAGAGGAGGAGGACACGGAGGTGGGTGAGGGGGACAAGGAGCGAAGGCCGCAGGGAAGGTCCCCTGGCCACAAGTGGAGTTAAGAAACCTGGCACAAAGTCAGCTCTTCGTGTTCCTGAGATGACGGCGACCGTCTTGCACTCCTGTTTAAACATCTGGATTCACTTCCGGGACATCTTTTGCCACTTATAGCTAGAAAAACGTGTTGTCCTGGAATCTGTTTACATTGTAATAAACTTTTGTTTTTTTTAAAAAAAAAGTACAATGGCTCACTGTCTCTAGTTTCCACTGAGCTTACTTGTACCTCAGCTGTGAATTTTAAGTAAATCCAGCCCAGAATCCTGCCAGAGCCTGTTGTTCCATCTTTATTGTACTTTGAATTCTGTATCATCTTGAATTAAACCAACTCATTTAAAAGGCAAAAAATTTTTAAAAAATGGTATTTGGATTATTTTGTTTCCTGCCTTGCCTAGAGAACACCAACCCTGAGAGCCACAAGCTCTTCTTTGAAGACCACAAAGCTATGGATATCTCATCTAATTATTATAAAAAAAAAAAAAATGCACATGTACAAGCAAAATTCAACAATGAACCAACACTCCTTTCCAACAATGACCGTATTTGGCTAGTTAAGTTTTCTGAAGTTTCTGTTGTCCCAAAGATGGGTTTTCATAGTTGCATGTTATCTATGGAATAGTGTTGGTATGTTCCCGAAAACATCTGCAAAAATTCTTCCGGATGTGTTTGTCTTCAGCCTCTTTGAACCATCTTTGAGGACAGGACTTACTTCTCACACCATTGGCTATGTCCTTTACATCCTCTTAAAATGCACATTAAAAAAATCTCTCAAAAATCTTTTCTAGAGATTTTTCCAGTGTGTCAGGTCCTGTTTACAGCCAGGATGGGAGGAGATGAAATTTGAGAAACTATTACCTCCCTACCCTATTTTCTAAAATCCCAAATATATATATTAAAAATACTTCCAATATCTCTGTGTTTGAGTCATAAAATGAAAGAGGAAATAACATATATCAGCCTTTTAAATGGCTGCCTGGTTTGACTCATAGCAAGTTATGAACACTGAAAGAGAAGATTGCCTGCAACCATAAGAGCTCAACAGTCGCTAAGAGCTGATCAAACCAGCAGCTTATGAGAATGCAGTTTTTGTCTCTCATTCATCATTCAGTAAGTACTTAGTACTTACTGAGTAATCTTCACTGCTAAGTTCTGTGAGGATTGAACAACTAATAAAAGGTCGTGGAGTGGATGACTTCCACCTAAGAATGGAGACAATGGGATTGTTAACTGAAGCAATCACATGAGGGGTGGAGGAAACAGACCCAGCTTATTGACAAAAACTAACACCACTGTTTCCTTATTGCAAAAAGGATTCTTCAAAATAATATTATATAGACTTAGGAATGAGAGTATTGTAGGTACGTGAAAATTTTTACTCCATGACCTATGTATTTCTTTCCTTTTTTCTTTTTTTAATTGAATTTCTGAGATTTTTATATTTTGAGATTTTTATACAATATAATTTGATGTTATTTAGATACCCTCCCCTACCTGTACCTTCCTTTGCTGCCTCCCCACCCAATTATATATATATATATATATATACATATATATGCCTATAGAGTCTAAGTTGTGTCCCCACATGTCCTTCATTGTAGGTCCATTCACTAAAGCCTCATTAGCCTACCAAGAGTCCCATCCTTGAAAGAGATGGTCTCTCCCCCTCCCATCAGCCATCGGTTGCCAAAAGTTCCTTATGCTGGGTTGGGGTTTCTTATCTACATCCCTATGTTTTTGCTGGGATTTTGTCTGGTTTGAGCTTGCATGGGACTTGTGCATGCTGTCACCACTGTTGTGAATTTATATGAGTAACCGTCTGTCTTCAAAACTCAGTTTCATTATAGTTATCCACCACCTCTGGTTCTTAAAATCTTTCCGTCCTCTCTTCCACAATGATCCCTGAGCCTTGGGAGGCTGAAGTTTTATATAGGTTTCCTATTCAGTGATAAGCACTCCTGCAGCCTCTTGTTCTCTACACATTTTTTCCTTCTGGTAGCACGCATAGCACCTTCCAGCACTATGAAAGCTAGCCAGTAGAGATGAGGCTCTGAAGTCAGCACCAGCTGATTTCTCTGTTTGTTCTTCAGCTCGTGTGTGTATGTACTGTCTTCAGCAACAGGTTCTTATCAAGTTCTGGAAGGGAACCAAGAGCAGGGGTAATGGCCAGTATTGTTTGAGGGTTCATAGGACACCTAGTCAACAACTTCTAGGGAAGGAATCTATTCCTGGCATTGAGGGTTTTTTCATTAGTCTACAATGTCTAAAAGGGGCAATGTCTCCTTGCTGTAGGGTAGCTCCTTTTAACCTATTTTTATCATATATATGCACTTTAAGAAGTTTCTATAGTGGCAGGCTTCTATATGGCTTTTTCTAAAGTCCTTTGGTGTTACTTATCCCTCCCCATAATCCCTCCTCTGCCCTCCCTTTCCCCACCCTGTTTAACGAGTACTAAGATTCCTGTGACATATTCTTGCAGTATTGTTTCTTTTATGACGCCCAGATATTGACTTTGTAAAGTTTTTAACAAAGTGATGCATGCCACATGGGATGAGAGGGCAGCCTGGCAGAGACTGGGAATGGCAAGGAGAGTGTACACTGTGGCAACCCGATTCTATCAGGAAATTGGATCTTCAGAGCAAATATATTTTATTTGTATAGAGTTGGTGCCATCAGTATTAGCTCATGGTGGTTGATATGTTTAAATGAAGAAATGAACACAGGTGTAAACATTTGTATATGCATTTGTGCTTACATACATGGGTTTCCTAGCTGTGTTATTGCAAAGTCCTGGATACTTTAACTTCATAATGGCAATGAGCACACCAGTTACCCCATAGCTTGGTTTCAAAATATCATGGAAAGAGCCGGGCACTTCCAGAACTGAGGCACAGAAGAACAAGTTGCATCTGGAACTTCCTCTAGAGCCATAAATGAACAACTCAGAGAGTGATGGGGACATGTCAACATGACACAGAAGCCAGCAAAGGGACTCCCACTGACTGCATTCAGAACAAGTTGAGAATCAAATAATGCTTCTGGAAGATTACAGTCCATTGAATAAATAGGAAGCTCTGAATCCACTTAATTAAAATGTGCTACATGGCAGTCTTCACAATAATAACCAATTCAGGTGAAAGGCATCAGTGGATCTTACTGTGATAGGGAAAAGTGAGGGTGGGAAACGATTTTATGTAGTCACAAAGTATCTTCTATCAAAATACTTATCAACTCTAAGGTGAAGAAAACTCAACCAAACAGCGAAGAAGCCCAGAAGATGTAACCTAGTTATAGAACAGATGACCTTCTGGAACCACTCTCCTAGGATGCATTGAGGACACAGCATCCTGTCAACATCAGGACCAAACTACCTCAGATGAGTCTGATCCAGAGGAAGAATCAGGCAAACACAGGAAGCACAGAATGAAAGGACCAGCCTGGAGTCTTCATAGATTTCAAGATCATAAAAGACAAAAAAGGAAGGAAGAATGGTTTGAGACTCAAGAGAATGGTAACAGGAACATGTGACCTGACTGAATCCTTTGCTACAAAGAACATTACTGGGAAAGAGACACAAGGAAGTTCTTTGTCTTTTTCTTGAAACCCTTGTCTATTTGTACATTTATTCATTTTTGGTTTTTAAAAAATATTTTATACGTATTTATTTTATGTGTGAGCGTATTGCCTGCATGTATGTAAGTGCACCCATGTCCTGCAATGCCCATGGAGGTCAGAAGAGGGCATTGGAACTAGAACTCATGTTGGTGCTGGGATTTGAACCTGGGTCCTCTGTAAGAGCAGCCAGTACTCTTAACCACTGAGTCATCTCTCCGGCCCCTCGTTTTTTGGTTTTCGAGACAGTATTTCACTCTGTAGCCTGGACTACATACTTACTGTATAGGCCAGACTGGCCTCTCGAACTTGGCCATCATTCCTATTGCTAGGATTA